GTGATCTACCAGGCACTACATACTGATGCATACAATGATGGTGAAACTCACTGCATGTTAACTCTCATCCCTCCAACCCCTAGTCCACCCGAAAAATAAATCTGCATTTTCACTTGTGCTGCAAAATTGATAATTAAGACTAAAAACTCCTTGGATGAAGCAGGGATAACAGGTGAAATGGCTTTGGTGGCTTAAGTGCTAATTTCCTCTTCCTCCTGTCAAATTATACCTTAGTTTACTTTGCATCAACTCTGGTGCAGCAAGATTCTCTCACTGAATCCTGTTCTCTGACATCAAGTAATATACACATTCACTACCATATGTGGAAGCACATACGATGCACTTCAAATGAGCTCATTCTCTGAACTCACCACAGGAATCACATGTTCTCCTTTTCAACATATGGCAGTAAGACAGAGAGGATGAAGGATTTATTTTTTCTTGGAAACCTCAGGAAATGGACTCGAATTCTGTCCATTCATGAGCCTCACGTTCCGAATAAATCCTAAAATCCTATTTAAGGAACATGACATTAAAAAGGAAATGTGGCAAGAGAGATACAATAATAAACAGTATAGGGTAGTATAAAAGATACTGTATCCTAAAGCAGCGGAAACCAATGAATAGGCTATATGTAATTCTTCTGATGATCATTTTTCACAGTAAGTTGTATGTTCACATTTACAGTATTTATGCACTGATCAACACTGATCTGAGAGGTGAAACCAAGACTCACTCCCTGTTTATCCAGAGCCTTATCAAATATTAACCATTTGTGTGAAATTTTGTCATAATCGCTGTGTGAAGTCTTGAGTAATGGCTAAAAAGTGTGAGGTCACTGTGACCTTGAGCTTTGACCTTTGACCACCAAATTTACCAAATTTGAGGGGATTCCCTTGAGGAGTTTGAGATATCTCATTCACAAGGCCAAAATCATGTTTTGCGAAGTCACTGTGACCTTGACCTTTGACTTTTGACCTTTGACCTTTGACCACCAAAATCTAATCAGTTCATCCTTGAGTCCTAGTGAATGTTTGTGCCAAATTTGAAGAAGTTCCGTCACGGTGTTACTGAGATATCGTGTCCACGAAAATGGGACAGGAACAGACCAACAACCTGAAAACACTATGGCCCCGGCTCTGACTGTCGCCGGCGCTGAAGCATAAAAAGAGGTACAGACTGTGAATCAGCACAAGTTCTACTGTAATAATTCCCAGTCACATTCAAAGTGATTATAAAAAACCTGAATGAGGCTTATTTGAGATCATACACAATTAACTTCAAACATCAGACAATTACACATATATGGGATTGCGTAATAGGCTAATTAATTCACCATGTACATTTCTATTTCAGTGGCAAATTGTTTTAGCTTCAGTCTCCTGCTGATTTGTGGCAGAAACACTTCAATCCTGTGGATGTCATCAGCATCTTTGATTCTCGTGTCGCGATGGTCGTGATTTCAGCAGGGTTCTCATTTGGTAAAAATCCAGCTTGACAGGTGAATCTATTTTCTAATCCTTCCTTCAGCTCAGATCAATTCAATTGATCGACCAGTCGATTCATTTCCTGACTTATGGAAGTGATTCTGATATGGACACATTTAGCTAATGACGTTCATACTGAGAGTCTCATTAGACTATAAGAATGTCCAGTGAACTCTGACACAGTCAATAGTGCGGAAAGCTTTCCTGCCTGTCACTGTGACCCAGGTGGAAGTCATCAGACCGGCTGTGTTTGAAAGGGCCTTCACTCATTTCTGCCTCACCTATAGAATTACATTGGCTGGTGATAACAGATGTGTCTATAAAGACAGGGAGGGGCAGTGGGCTTGGTTTGCAGGATGCTACCCTGGCCTGACTGTGGTGGGGAGAAAGGGCACCCAAATTTGTGCAGCAGGCAAAATGCCACAATATGTTAGCATGCTGTGCAGCGTTTGTAGCCTGTGGACAGTGGTGTGTAGACAAAGAGTGGGAACCAATCCAAGAGAACTCACACCCACAGGGGCTGAGTTGAATGTTATCTGCAAACACTGCTTTGGAGTCACATTGACACTGAAGAAAAAGAAATGTCTTCAGGTCAAGTTTATTCAAATTCATTTTAAACACAGTGAGACTGGTGTAATTCTCCTCAGTTCTCTGCCTCTCTAAACTCTGATTAAGGTTTTCCACATTTTAACACAACATCGAGTGAAGCGTGTGCGAGAGTGAGTCGGAAAAAACTGCTGGCTTCATCCCACGAGAGAAGTATCTCACACACACACACACACACACACACACACACACACACACACACACTGTTTTGCATACAAACAACACAAACCCTCATGAAGTTGATCCCCGCTTCAGTCCGACCAGTGAATCCATCTGATGCAGGAGTAGGCAGCAGGCAACAGAAGCCTCGTGGGACTGAGGGGGATTTATGGGATGTAGGCAGCAGGGTAATCCACGCAGTACTCTCTCCCAGCAGCACTAAACATTAAATATTCATTTCCACGTAGAGTCTGCACTGCTCTCCTACTCTGTGCAGGTAGAATTGATTGATCTAGTGTAATTAGTTTAGAAAGAAATGTGGCGTCTTGCTGGTGGATGGTTGGGTAATATTCATGTCTGAGAGTACGGCTGTGGTTTAATAGAATTTCTCCAATAAAGTTCTCTGATTTTTATAGACATATATTTCATCTTTGCAGGTATATTTGTATCTTTGCTTTACTGTTAATTATTATTTAATGCTGTTCTTAGAATTAGATGTAGCATATTTTCCTTATGGATATCTAACTGAGATGTGACCACTTTTACAATGTGAAAATTATAATTTGTTGTATAAATTGGACAAATATAGTGTCATTATAAAACCATGATGATGATATAAACCCGTGACGGAATGACACCACAAAAAAAAAAGAAAAAAGGATGGGATCATCTGCAGTACGAAGCATCTGATTATCTAAGTACATAGGAATGGAGCTGTGAGGAAATCTGTCCCATAGTGTGTGTATGTGTGTATGTGTGTGTGTGTGTGTGTGTGTGTGTGTGTGGTAGCACCTGCAGTGTATCAGACAGGGTGTGACGTTGAGGTGTGGAATAGCTGCAGTCATTTTCTGTACAGGCTCACACCCATCACACAGGAAGACGGCTTCAATAAATTAAGTGATGCAGTAACGAGGTATTTATAGATTGTGAGCAATGCTGTTGACTTGCTTATTGAAAATCATGGCGCTCACATTTATCTCTGCTCGGTTTGCATATTGTATTGTTTGCAGAAATGATGTCTACAACAGAGATGTTTGGGCTCCACCTTGTGGTAGCAATATTAAAAGTATTACATACTCCTGTCCTGTTCATCATCATATATAGAATGACCTGCTTTAGTTTTCTTTTACAACTGGTTAAACACATTTCTCTGTACTCAGTTCACTTTTCCATAAACTCTCCACACAGGCAGCACAACGGCCGTCAGTGTGGGGTAAACTTCACACAAAACGTATTCAGTGATCACATCTTTCAAATTTCATGAACTCTTTCTCTTACTCTCCAGATGTTAACATATGATTTTAAAATCGGTTGTATTTTACGTTTATAAGCAAACATAACACAAAGTTACTGTAAATTTGACTGTGATTTACTGCTTTCTGCTACATCTACGTCTTAAAAGAACAAAAACAACCCAAACGAGGAATTCTTTTCCTCATGGAGAGAGAGAGAGAGAGAGGGAGAGAGAGTTAATGAACACTCAACATCACATGTCCCTCCTGGATGATGAATGCTGGGTGCCTGAGATTGTAAGGGATGGATCTGGCTGCATAAAGATTGTCTCCCAGGTGTATTTCAGGGGAGCACATAAGGTGTGATGTGGATGATTAACACTGTTGTATATTTAGATCTGTAGATATCCTGCACATGCATGTACAGTGAATATATGCTCTTGTTTTGTACTGCACCACAGGAATTAGTTTAGTTTAGAAACATAAAGCATATTGCAGCATTTTTTATTTAATTTTTACCATATACTGTTAGATACGGTAAGGTAACGATCCACACGGTAAAGAGTTTGTTGCATTCGTTCATTTTGGATGTGAGATTAACAGCTGTGCTGAGCTGCATGTTGTGTGTATGAAGAGTATAACCAACTGTAAAAAACTGTAAGTCTTTATTCTTAAATCTTGGTCATGGCATGTATTTAAGTATTTTTTCCTTGTTAGGAGACATTTTTCTGTTTGGTGTCATATGCCAAATAAATTTTTAAATTACGGACTACTTAGCAGGAACAATGGAACCAGGGACTTGACGATATAGTTAAAGAAATATACATGACGGAAATTAAAATGACTTTTTCACTCTGCCAACAAATGAACAGATTCACTAAGTATGCTGTAGAAGGAAAATGTTGCCTAGTTTCCTCATGTATATGTGCATGATTGTCTCCGTCCTAAAATTTAAATAACTTACTGGATTGTCTCCCAACATGTTGATGCACTTTTGTTACTATATATCCCCTTTTCAGAGTGTAAAATAGTTGCAGAAATTTCTATTGGGTGCATATTGTGTATATAAAAAAAGGAAAAAAGGATACTGGGAAGGGAAGGGTTAAGGGTTTTCAGTCATGCTGCTCATTTGCTGTAGACGTCTAATATTCTGTAACTGCAAGGCTGCTTTGAAGCTGGTGAAATGTTCTCAACTATCCTCTAAATAAATAATTTCAAAGAAAAAACATTAACCCAGGGACTTGATGCCAACATAAAAATAATCATTTTGCTTTTATCTCAAGCTTCTTACATTATTATTGTGAGGACTTCAAGAGAGGTGTTGGATTTCAGGGTTTGTGTGTGTGGGTGAGAACTAACAAAAGTCTGGAAACTGTTAGAACTAGTTTGGCCTGGTGAGTTAGGGTTCATTCATATCAAACAATCTGACACTAAACTTGTGGTAGGATAATTTCTAACCAATAAAATCAGTTTGTTTTGAACGTTCAAGACGGAGTGACAGAGAAGAGAACAAGAGTGCGCTTATAAAAGCCTGTTTAATAATTTTCATACAAATAAACCATTGTAAAGTCAAAAAAAAACAAAACACTGAAGGAATGGATATTCCTGCCACAAGGCCTCGGTGATGAACAGAATTGTGCTAAATTCAGAATTAAGCCAAATTTCAGTAAATATATTTGAATTCAAATATTTAAGTTGAACAGAGAAGAAACGTGAGGAATATCATACATTTGATTCTATCTTCAGTCTTCCATCTTCAATGTAATTCACTGCTGAATTCAAATTTAAGTAAAAACCTGTTCTGAATTGACTGCAGAGGACAATCGACAACATAAAAACTTCACAGAGTAAGAAAATAAAGCAGTCGTCTTCATTATGAGGTGTCCATGGAAGCAGTTTCTGAAAGGCAAAAACAAATGAATCCTGCTTATTCACCAGATTATATACAAGGCCTATATTTTACATTCAGATTATTTTAACTGTACCATTCTGTACTTTATAAAAAGGTATTTTATTCTTTTATTTTAAATAAGGGAGGGCTGACCCTGCTGATGGGCTAATATCAGTTAGTTTTTGTTTGGTATTTTTCTTTGTACCGTTTCTCTTCTCTACTTTGCTGTGAAACTACAAACCAATCAGTATGATGAGGAACAGTTTTAGTGAGCATGTGAGAACGTAAATTACAGCAGGTGACCCTGGGTAAGAGTCTGTTTCAGCATTTTGATGCATTGTTGGACTTTGATATAACTTGTGCTAGACCGAGGGGATGGAGAGCAAACTCACGTGTTTCATTAAAGAGGAAGGAATCCTGATACTCCTTCATGTATTGAGAGGATCTGGCCTCATCCAGGAACAGAGAATAGACTCTTTTAATGTCCTCCACCTGAACTTCTGTCCCCTGAAGAAGCAAACACACACAGATGAGCCCAACACACTGGCTAATGGCAATAATCAGTCATGATTAAAAATACATCCCACAGATTTTGATGACAATTAGTTTTTTTTTACATGCATTGCAACTGTTGCAATAAAATCTGCTCATTCAGACTGAGCTAACCTTGCGTTTGCGACACACCAGTCCTGCAGTGCTGATCAGCTGAATGGCGTAGCGCAGTGACGTCTCCATGCCGATGCGAGTCAGGACGGTGTGAGCCTCCTCGCTCAGCTCCACATCCTCCTCCTCGCACCTGAAATAAAAACCATGCATATTTACATTACACACTGGTGACATGTATAGGCCTTGTATATAGCAATTGAAGACGTCGGCCTTATGGAAGGACCCTGTGTGGACGATTATTGATCTTCGATTATTGGATGATCAGTGCAGATTCTCACCGGATCTTGAGGATCTGCCTCGTCTCTTTTTCCGAGTAAGGGGAGGTGGCGATGATGAGCAGGCGATCCAGCAGGTCAATGGGGATGCCATGAGGGCTCTGATAGTTTGTGCCGCGGATACTGAGAGAAAAAAAAGGAGGATATTCAGTGTGTATTCAACAAGTGACACCTCAAAACCAATTTTTTAAAAATTGTTTTCTAAAATTTTATGACCTACATGGACATTTAATTTGAGTTACATGAAATTTATTTTATTATTTTTTACAGAAGCCAGATATACAGGTTATATGAAATGTAAATTGCCCAAAATAAAATAAAAAAATATATATATTGGTGTATCCATAAATGCGATAACTCGAATGATGAGATGGGAGGTAAAGGTGGTATGATATGTAAACAGTACCGCGTGATGCCTCTGTTGGTGGCCATGATGAGAACTGGGGACAGGTCACTCTCCAGGGCCCGGTTCAGGAAGGAAAAGCACTCCATGTCCAGCATATGGACCTCGTCAATAAATAACACCTGCAGCCACAGACATGGAAAATCAGTCGAGTAGAATCACAGAAAAGGCAAATACAAATACAAATACAAACACGCACACACACACACCCAATGAACCTACCCCTGGAATGATCTCTGCCTTGCCCTCTTCCCTCCATTCACACACTTTAGCATTAATCTGCTCGCGGACTTCAGACTTGATCTCTCCAGTGTCTCCGGAGAAGAGAGCCAGGAAGCCTTGTGTACGGCTGTTGATGACGTCTATCTCATGGAGGGACACTGTGTGGACCACCTCTTTCCTCTTCTGCAGCTCTCCCTCTGGACACTGTACAAACTGTGTCTATCAAGACAATAGAACAAAATAAATTTCAGTTTATTTCATTAAATTACAAAAACTGAAAATCAACAATACTCCATTGCACATAGAATTGGTCATTTTTTCAACATAATTCAATTGTAAACTATTTTAAAAAACAGTCAAGTGGCCTTATTAGAGCAAAAATCTACTGTTGTTAGTCAGTGTGAGTAACAGCATCTGGATTTTAGTGATGCGCCAGTATACCTGAGCTCCCATGGCATCATAGTCTCTGGCTCTGGTGAAGGAGCGGCCCAGCTTGCTGATCTTTCCAGTGGCTTTGTCAATGGTAATAACATCTCTGAAAGAGAACAGAGAAATCCCGTTTAAATCACATATGGCTGTCCATCAGGCCTGATGTTATGAAACTGTAGAATACATAAAGATAACAGATCATTTACGGATCCATGAACAGAAGATTAACCCACCCTGCTTGTACTTTCTCTTTACTGAGACTGTCAATCATCTTGTTGCCCAAGTCATATATCGTCTCCATCTCAGTAGTCTTCAGAGTCAGCTTGCCCACCTTAGCACCCTGACAGAATGCAAAGTATTTCCAGTAAATTGATAAACCAGGAGGGACATTTTTGAATACTGATTACATATTTATTCATTCAAATATTTTCCAAATCAGCCAACCGCCGACAACAGCGTAAGCAGCCTACCGTTCCAGTGGCTGGTCTATCAATCTGGATTTCCACCACTTCTCCTTCAATAATCTCCGTTTCTTCTCTGTAAAAAAAAAAAAAAAAAAAAAAAAAAAAAAACACAAACACAATGAAGAGAAATTCATTTCAAACAATAAGAATTACAGTTAGAATTAGTGTGTAAGTGCACTCACTTGATCCTCACTCCGATAGCTTTCCTAAAAGCTTGGCTGAGTGCCTCAGTTTTGCTCATCTCCAGAGAGAAGATCTCACTACCAGCCAGTGCTGTGAAGGGTGTATCAGAGCCAAGAGACTGGGCGATGCCTGCATAAAGAAGAAAGTTTAAAATGAACCTATGCTCAGCCACTCAGTCTAGGAGCAGCAACTTTTTTTAAACTCTTTCTTTAAAAAAAATATAACTTAAGCCAACTACACATCAACGCAAGGCAGTAATATCACATCTACCAGAGGATGATGAAATGACACTGTGTTCTGGAGAGAACTTACCCATGGCAATGGCAGTCTTTCCTGTGCCAGGTTGGCCGGCAATCAGTACAGCCCTGCCCGCGATGTGGCCATCTTTGATCATCTCCAGAATGACTCCTGCTGCCCGACGGGAGGCCAGCTGGCCAACCATCCCCTGAGAGACCTGTGGGTGAATAGAAACAGGTATCCTTGAGGCCAAAATCAAAACATATTCATGCACATCTGCACATCATTCTGTGTTATAATCCAATATACTCTTTGAATTCACAATATTTTCTGCTTAGTTTGAGTTAGTCTCACAATTACTTCATATAATACACACTATGAGCTAAGACTTAATTCTACCTGTCTTGGCTCCAAAGCATCATCCAAACCAAGGCCACGGATGTGAGAATGTGCACCTTAACAAGAGAAAAAAAACACAATCATATAAAACCCATTTGGAAGAGCTGAGAGAAGGTAGATAAGATAAGGTACCATTTGCATCTACATGAAATAAGGCTGACCTACTTTAAAACACATAAAGCAATCATTAATTTGCAGCCATTAACATTTCGACAGACAAGGTCCCAGTGTAAAGTGATTCTTACCAATTCTTTCGATCCGCATAATGTCACGAACCTCTGGAACCTTCGGAGCCGCCATCTCTACTGAGGAAGACGCAAAAAACACAAGTGTCCTAACTCCTAAATATGGAAATAACACAGAGATGAACGAATACTCCTCACATATTTTCTACTCCCCATGACCTTTGTTAGACCATTAAATGAAAAATTCCTAAGGTAGCAAAACCACTCCTGACATACTGGTACCATGCATATGTCTTTTACACAGACAGTCAAATGTGTTCTGAAACCACACTTACAAGAGGTGGCTAATCCACGCCAACAACATTATCAGTGTAGGGGTTCATGAGGGTCTCTGGCTTGTGTAACACAAACATGTTTAAACGCATACATTTTTCTTAACTATATTATCTCATTTTAGTTCATAATGAGCCAACTGCTGGAGAATTACATTGTAGGGGTACCCCTGGATCAGGGCTATTTTCATGTGTACTCGTACCTCTGTTGATGCTTGCGTTCCTATTTAAAACAGCGTCAGGTTGCACCACTAATCCAACAGCTAATATTAAGTTAGTTAACCAAGCTGGGGAAGCTAAATAAATTGAACTAATGCTAGAAGAGTCTCTCCTGTCCAGTCGGTTGTCATAGTGACAGTCCCAACGTATGCCTCAACACAAAAGTGGCCCGACGGCTATGTTAGCCAAGTTACTGTGGCTTTTTATTTGTAATACTAATTGTAATACTCACTTTCACATAAACAACAAACCGCTCAGATGTTGGCAATCTCAATTTGAGTCAAATGACATGCGGAAGCCACAACCGTTCGTCTCCACAAGGCTAGTTCAAAGAAATATAATGCTAGCGCTATGCTAATGTTATGTTAGCAAACTAGCTAGCTCCATTCATAGGTTTGTCTTCTGTAACTATTGTTACTTTCGGAAAAAGACGTAATCCTGTAGCTGATATGAACGATTTAACTTTAACTACGCCTCGAGCGATGAAAAGACGTAAGTGGCCAAGATGTACAATATTTATTATATTTATCGTATGAAACACACACTCACCTGTACAGCCACACTCGTGAAAATGTGAGAATGCGGCGCTTCTTTCTGAAGGTGCGCAGGGCAAATGTGTCCGAAGAGAAACAAGTTCTCCGTTTTCTATGTGCAAGCTTTGAGGCTGACTGCCCTCTGTAGACATGGTGGGAATGAGGAGAGTGACTATAATTTTAAAGGCATGTAAATTATGACACAATCATGAATTCTGAATTATTATTTACCATCCGTTTGTTACCTTTCTGTAGACTCAAGACCGTTGATTATATTGTGGTAGTGTAGAATAAGGTTAGACCGCTTAGTTATGTCTCCATTTGGTGTAGAAAGATATTTCACTTCATTCGAAGTCTCCTGTTCTCTAATTGAAACGACTTGTATCTGAGTACTAATTATTATTAAATGATTATTGTTTATTCATTATTAACTGTTTTTATTGTTGTTGTTGTTGTTGTTATTATTATTATTATTATTATTATTATTATTATTATTATCAACAATGAGCTAATGGATATATGAATTTCCCCTAGGGGATAAATAAAGTATCTATCTATCTATCCATCTATCCATCTATCTATCTATCTATCTATCTAAATGGTCTTTGACTACATAATTCTTTTCCCTTAACTCTTGGTGACGTAAATAGCAGGTTTGTAGGCTATACAACGATTTTCAACAATGTAGGATTTACAAAACAAATATGTACAAAGCACAGAGATATGTAGGTGAATTTATTCAGGGAGGTAGCCTGTGTTATGTTGTTTTAAGTAACTAATCCTCTTAATAAAAGTGTAGTCTATCTCAGCGAGGCCTAATACATACAGCTGGTCCAGTAATGTCTACCCAATGAAAATTTTTTGTACCAAACTTCTTGCACTTTTTAGGCTAAGATTATTTTGTATCTCCAGCAGTGAACCATCTCCTCACACAGAAGCTTTCCCAGGAGTGGCATGAATAGTGGCCGATGACAGCCTTGGTAAGCACTGCATATATTTCTCCACTAGAGGTAGCAAGGCTCACGAGTGATTTTCCAGGTTCATGTATAACAAGGCAGAGCATACTACATGCCAAAGTTACAGCTAATTTCCTCTTGTACACCAGAAAAGTATATTGTGGGCAAAATCCTCTAACTTTTTATTTGCTTCTTGTCACCAGTTTTTTAATGTGTAAAAGTCAAATAATACATAATGGCAATGTATAGATTCTATTATGGCAAATAAATGTTTATGTATCTGTGTAAAGCAGCAACTAAAATCAGACAGAAAATGAAAAATGGCAAAAGAACTGGGGGGAGTTTTTCATATCCTCTCTACAATATCTTCAAAGTTTTCCCTAAAGGCTCCAGTTTTAGGAATCCACAATATAAACAAGCTTCACTCCACAATCCCAGGAGGACGATACTGCAACAACTTTCAAACTATTCACAAACACTTTTGTTTGCGTTGTCACCAGTTGTGATGTTTCCTGATGTGTAATCATTGGCCTGTGTTTAAATAAAACACGTTTTGTCAATAGCCCAGCCTCTGAAATGCCTCCCAGCAAAGAGGAAATGGCCCCCAGCTTGAACTACATATAGGATTTTCTGCTACAATGATCAAGTGGAACTCAGCCAGTTTTACAGCTACATTTGTAAAGAAAAAAAACTCATGTGTTGCGTCATGTATACTGTCTGACCGAATCCAGAATTTTAATGAATAACTAGATGATAAAGATCTTTACTGTCAGACTGGACCATACCTTAGTTCAGTATACCACAAACAAATAAAACTGCCACTAGGAGAGTTTCTAAATGAGTTTCACCATGCGTGAACTCAGGAGCTCTCGGTCACACCTCACCTATTTCTGTACAACTCCTCTCAAACCTCTCAGTCTTCCACTAAACCAACACTGCTGTTCACACACAAAGCAATATTATTATTTTTGTTATTTAATCTATTTTGAATGATGATGCTAGTGATATATATCTGTGTTTTTTGATCTTACAGACCAGGTAACTGGAATAGAGAAGTTGCTGAAAAACTATCATTAGTTTTCCTGACATAATGACTGGCTTTTTAAAAATTTTTAAACCTGACTTGAACCTAAGTTTTCTCCTTTTTAAAAGATGCCTAACTGAGTGAAAAAAACTTCTACTGTATTCATGCAGGCTGAGGGGTGATGACACTGGGGAGTAAGTAAGGAAGGAAGTTTTTGAGAAGAGAGGGATGGAGTAAAAATACAACATACCACAGTTTATCCTCGCTATAAAATATTTATTTGATAAAAATTGTATGTTTATTGAAAAAAATGTGTATCATAGCTTCTATAAATGATCACATGACATATTTCAATCAAGTACAGCCTTCATTACTTTAAATAATTTAAATGCTGATTCACTTTATACACCTGAGCTCACATTCTCCACATGTTGATTTGCAGAATATTCACAGTCATCAATAACAGGTCCCCTGATACTCATATATAACACATATTGTATAGTCTAAAAAATAAAGAACATATCCAAGCTTGTAAAAGAATTAAAACATGCCATCACAGAGTACTAGTATTGTTCTGTACAAATACCTAAACTGAATCACTTTTGTACATTGATTATCAGAAGTGTGTTATTTAATCACAGCTGGATGACGGTGATGGCCGACTCATACCAAACCCAGAAGCCTGGATAGACAGCTTCACTGAAAGAGGCCTTGAAGCGGTGGATGAGAGACATGGTGTCCCCTACAGTGTAGAAAGACAGGGTGCCCCCGGCGTGGTCGAGGAACACCCCTATACGGGAGGAATAGGGCAGGTTGATATCTATCTGGTCCTTGTTGTGGCGAGCCGAGTAGCTGGAATCAGAGCAGAAGAGGCTCCAAGACTTGCGGTTGTAGCCGATGCGGCAGCTGTCTCCGTAGCCGGTTCTCTTGATGCCTTTGTAGGTGATGCCGATGGCCGCCCCCTCCCCGCTCCAGTCAACCTCCCAGTAGTAGGCGCCTCCAGAGAGGGGCTCCTTACACAGGACCTGGGGCAGGGAGTCAAACCGGGCGGGGTGGTCACCGTAGGACTGGGGGTCTCTCCTGAGGGAAGCTTTCCTGTTCCCTCGAGACAAGTAGAGCTGTCTGTAGGCTGTGTTCGGGTCCAGAGTCAGCTGACAAGCATCTAGGAGGGGACAGAAGGTTGTGAACATTTACTTCACGAGAGGAAGGGTTTCACTGAAACTGCTTGGGTTGAATGTAAATGAGGAAGATCGGCAAAAGTCACTGTTTGAAACACATTCTCACTCCCAGCTCATCACATATGGACCCCTCACCTGTCACCACCAGCTGCAAGGTTGTAGAGGTTAGTAGAATGTAGTTAGGATTTCTCCTTCTGTTAGATTTTTAACTAACTTCTGCAGTAACAAGATTTGAAGGGAAAGAGTGAGAGCCTCTGGCTGGACACACAGAAATCAGAATGAACCCAGGGTTTAGATGTCACCTGCCTGCTGTCTGCAGGTCACAGCTGGTGGGACACCCGGCGGCCTCGGCTAGATCTGCCCGGCCTATAATCTGGAACGCCAGAGGTATCGACACTGTGTGTGAGTTTGATCCCCAACAGAAGTCCATCTAACAAAGAGCATCTTTAACTGTAAAGCGAGACCCAGGACCTGTCAGCACCTTCTTCAGTGTCCTTAAAGACAAGGCCATTCCCCCCAACTTTATATTCTTAGCCTCCAAGATTAGATTATTATATTACTTATTATATTTGAAAAAATATCCTATTGAAATGTTTTATTTTAGGTGTTTTTTCTTCTTTCTTATCTGACTGGTTAGTAAACATCAGCTTTTTCATGCTGTGTAAGTGCTTGGTAATATATTTATAATGAGTCAATCTCTCTCTGTCAACACTGTAGGACGTACAGTAGCTACATAAATCGGATGTTGTGGTCAGCCACAGGATCTGACAGAGAACCTCATCAGCATCTAATTTGCCTCATGCATTGAAATGAGCAGGGAGAGCAGTGAACTGTGTCACTGCAGAAAGCAGCACGAGAGAAGCCGAGACTCACATTTCAGGAAGTCCTCCCTGTACTGAGGCTCCTGCATTGGGACAGACTTGTACATGGCAGCTTCATCACCTGTGGAGGGAAACATGTATTTATATCAGTTAAGTGATATTATAGAGAATCAGTGAATACAGAAACTTACAATACAATACACGTTATCCCTTTGATTTCGTCAAGACTGATAATGAAGGCTCGTATAATGTGGGCAGTGTTGATATTCTTATTATATTAATTCAGATACTGTGATTGTTACACTATGTGTGATGCTTATCTGAACCGGCAAAGACCACGTAACTTGATTTCTGTATCTGAGAAGTGTGTTAATATAAACTCGGTCAAAGTAAACATTTACCCATGTGGCAGCTGGGTGACCTCAGGCTACCCTCCAGTGAATATCATTCTCCAGCCATGACCAAACATCAAACAGGAATGTACAAAGCCTATTGCGTACAAAGGAAACTGTAAATCTATTTGACTTTCCCCTGGTCAAATTAGGCTAAAATTTGAATTAGGGTCCTTTTAATTTCTAAATACTGTAACTATGCTGGCTTAGTGGATTTAGTTGAACACGATTAGTTCTTTGTACTAATATTATTATCACATTAATTTGTTGTCCACATGAAATCAGGAATAAGAAAGATATTTTTCTTGAATGGTTGACTCACTTTTTATCGACCGTCTCTTTTTGGATTCATCCAGTTGACAGAAAGTCATTTTGTTAACTGTGAAATAAAGAAATAATGAATGAGTTAACATGGTAACAGTGGTAATATGTTCATAACACCATTTCTGTATTTTTCTGTTATTTAGAACAACAAGCTCCACACTCACCTGTCTTTGCTACCTTAACCAGCTCGTCGTTGCTGAATTCATTCAAGTGCTGCTTCATCTCAGACACGGCCTTAGTCACTGGGCCGAAGGTGAAGTAGGGGTTGACGCTCACTGTAGGCAGCTCCTCGGCCTCCGTCTGGGCTATCAGCATGTGGTAGCTCTAATGAGGGAATACAGAAAAACATTTAAGTAATGTATGTTTAAAATCCGTCCACGGTTGCTTTCAGTTCACAC